TTCTAAAACTCTTGATGTCTCTCATAAGTTTCGTAGTCTAGGTTTTATCTTTGATTCTACTATGTCTCTCTCTTCTCAGATTAATAGTGTTGCTAGAAGTTCTTACTTTCATCTACGTAGAATAAAAAAACTTTTGCCTTTTCTTGATGATCCTACTCTTCTCCTTCTTGTTACTTCGTTAGTCTTATCTAGGATTGATTATTGTAACTCGCTCTACTATGGTCTTCCTGACTCTATACTCTATCCTTTAAGTAAAGCTTTTAACTCTGCTGCTCGTCTAGTTGCTCGTGCCCCTTTCTTTTCTCATATATCTCCATATCTTGTTCTCTTGCACTGGCTACCTATAAAATATAGAATAATTTTTAAAATTTGCACGTTCATGTATAAGTCTCAATCTAAATTATTTCCTAAGTACTTATCAGATATATTAATTGAACCTAAACGCCCCGGTTTACGATCGTCTTCTTCTCGCTTTTTCTTAACTCGTGTTAAACACTCTTTTGCCAAATCTGCTTTTGCTTTTTCTGGTCCTTTTCTCTGGAACTCTCTACCTACTTCTCTAACTATTTCTCCATCACTTGCGAAGTTCAGAGCGGATCTCAAGACCCATCTGTTTTCAAAATTCATTGAGGAGCGCTGTTGAACATCGCGGAAATAGCGCTTTATAAGCTAATTGATTGATTGATTGATTGATTGATATCCATGTCGACTGAACCTAACAACAGCCGACTGATGTTAACGATTACCGTTTATAAAGAAAAAACGTTTTGCATAAAATATCAACATAACTTTGCCAAACATGAACGAGTTTATTCAAAGCCTTGATAACTTTAAATAAAATTGCTTCAAACGCCACAAAACATTTTCGTATCGGATAATTTTGGGAAGATTCGCGTCCTAACTAGCGAGTGAAAAGTTATTATTTCGTGTTTGAAAATGGATTTCAAGATTGATACTTCTTTCTGAACAATTACATGTGAAGTAAGTAGAGTAAGAATTAGTCAATAATATATTTGAGAAATAATATATATATACTGTATAGTGTATATAAAATTTGCATCACCACTGCAGTTTTTAATAAAGATGTTATTAACTACGAATAAAGATTAACAACTGCAAATAGATAAATAACTATAGGGTCAACTAAAGAGTTAACTGAAAATGTGAAGAGGTAGCATGGTCCGGATCTGGCAGCAATTTAAATTGAATTTTATCGAAAGCAGGAAGTTTGTCAACGTTGCAGACACACAAATTCGAGTACCTACTAGGACCCAGCTAGTGCTGCTCATTTAGAAATTTTTAATTCAAAATGACATTTAAATCATTTTTTCAATAATTTGCCTGTCGACGTTTACAACAGAAAGGCACTTTTTTGAATAGAAAAAGTGTGAATAAAATTTAAGTTTTTATAAGTAGCTTCCTACATAGGCAGAAAACAAAATATTTTATTTAAAAAAACGTCAAATTTATTAGTGCAGTGTAATTTTTAACACATCGGCAGCCAATTTGGTCGCGAGAAACGAAGAAATATTCGAAACACTTCTCTTCTTATTTTTCCTAATTTCTTACTTCTGTTGAACCGCCTATATTGGGTCTGCTTTTAATAAATAATTTTTCCATTATGCAAAACATTCGTATTTAACTTGATCAGAATTACCACTGAAACAAGTGTTTGTTATATTTTTGTTAGTGCAGCTGCAGCTTTTAAACCAACATATTTAGGTAAACGATTACAACGACAACGGTGTAATTGAAAATTTTAATAGAAAAATATCAAGGAAGAAAATATGAAGTTTTTGATAATTTAATGTAACAAAATGTTAGCTGCAT